GAGACACTTCACAACTAACATTAAACAAGAACACAGACACTTCACAACTAACATTAAACAAGAATGTATAGCGTTGTATCGTTATATGTTTTCATAACTGAAAACAAAATTAAGTACACCAGCGAAGGAGTTCAACACAAAACTGCCAGACGTTTCAACGACCATTATTTATTATTTTCAATGAACAAACATTGTTATCGGAACCTTCAAAACGATAACCATTAGTTGTCGAAACGTCTGGCAGTTTTGTATTTAACTCACTCGTTGGTGTATTTACCTTTGCCATCACAACCACGTGGTTTCTCTCTCTCAGTCGTATCACATGGTAAGACAACTTTATCGCGTACGAGAATATTATAATAGTAAAATTTATTTTCTCAGAATCAAGTAGTTGGTTCATTTTAAATAATTATATACTCTACCTTTTAATATTATATAAATTATGTCTGAAAGTAGAAATTTGAAAATAAAAGTTTTAAAATAAACGTACAAACATTACTACTACTAATTAATATACTAAGAAAACTAAAACCGGAAAATGACATTAACAGGATATACATAAATAAGTTGTGCCGGGGGCGCAAAAAACGCATGTTTAGAAGAGGAGGGTGGATGCCACAGAAAACTCTGTGCACCACTTGATACGTTCCATCAGCTGTGTATAACTGATTTCATTATAGTTGGTTAAAGAATACCGTAAATAAAACCCGTAGTGTTGTGTTTTCGCTACCAGAACGATCGCACGTAAAGGCTAGATTGTCAGTTTTCTCTGCTCGACTATTAGTGTTTTTGACAAGAGATCAAGTTAGAAAAGTTTCACTTATTTACGTGTTGGTTTTCTTGTCCATCATGGTTATTTAACTTTACAGTTTATACAAGAATCTATAAACGCGTTAAACTAGGTAGGTAAGGAAACATTCTTTTTAAAAGTGTGTTAATCTATTGTACGCAAATAACTTTTTTAATCTGATATTGCTGTACAGAAATGGGGTGAATTTTGGAAAAATAAAATTATTTGACTATTTCCACCAATATTTCTAAGGATGAGATTTTTATTTTATTGTTACAACAATTTGTAAACTGTTTTTTTTAACCTTGTTTGAAAAGTAAGTAAAAAGTTATTATTAATTTATAAGTTTTATCTAGACCAGTTTTTCTGTTGAGTAAATTTTTACTTTATGTTGTTTTAGTCTTAGCATGGTTAATGTGCCGGTCTGCGTATCGGAAGGTTTAATGTTGAGAGAACAATCAAATGATCATACATAAATGAGAGAGGACTTGGTCGTTTGTTATCTTCGCACAAAGTTGCTCTAGGGTTATCTACCTAATTTTAAAGTGATAGATTAGAGGAAAGGCAGCAAGTCA